TATTAGTTTTACATAAATCTTTGATAATTACCCACAAGTTTCTCTGTTTTCAAACTATTAGCTTTGAATATTTTTCGAGTTTTAGTTCAAATAGCTTTTTATAATTGATTTGAAAGTTTCAAGAAAGTTGTGATAATATCAGTCTAAAAGACTCTAAATAACTCAAGAATTTTTCATGTTTTATGTTAGTTTTCTAATTCTTTATGATTTTTGAGGGGTCATTTTTCTAGACACTTGGTGTGAGGAAATTATTTTCTAATGAAGTTTTTGTTCCGACTTTTGATACGAAAGTAACGGAATATTTGTGCTCGGGGTGGTTTTTTTCTTCAGACAAACTTCGAATTTTTAAATAGCCATTTTTAAGGAAATTATTTTTTATCATTCAAAAAGTGTTGTTGTTCTGAGCTCAAATTTGAAAAGATATTTCACCTGTGATCATATATATGTCACCTATGAAGTTACGGGGGTTTAAAGATTGTCATTTCGGCCAATTTGGGACAATTAGCGCGCGATATATTTCGCGCTATTAACGCGTAAGCGGAGTGTTAATCCGTCTTAGAAATTTTTCCAAATTGGTCAAAAGAAGCTTAGTTGCCATAGTTGATTTGTTACAAGGAGCAATATTTATCTTTTGTGCTTTATATGGCGTGTGGGGTGGATGATTTTCATTAAAAAAATTCAAACTTTAGAAAATTTTTTTTTATTTTGTTCTATTTCATTTAATTTTTTAATGTTATTACTGGTCCATAAACCTTAAAATGCAGTCGTAACATTCAGGGCTTCGTCCTGATTCGAGCAGTCTTGTTATTTTTGCCGTAAATTTTTACTGTGGTTAATTGAGACACAAAATTGTGGTCTATAAATCAAAAAACTAACTACTCACAGCTTGAAAAACTTTCAATTTTAAGTTTTTGTTACAACTAGTATCGAGAAAAACCGGTTTGAAATTTTGGGTGTTATTTCTATTAACTGGCAGGTAAAGCGATTGAAGAGGTGCAATATTAGAGAAGCTTTTGCCTAAGTTATGCAAAATTTGGTGTAACTACAGAAAATTTAGTTTTCGAAGCTTCATTTAGCGCTTTTCTTGCAATACATTTGGATAAGAAAGAACTCAAATTAACTTGCAAAAAATATATTTTCTAAGTTTAGAAAATAAATGTATATTGTTTTGTTATTATTTTTTCTAAGAGAATCGTTGTCATTTAAGTCGGATTTAATAACGCTCTATGTTTTTTCTAGTTCTTCTCATTACATAACGCATTAGAAAAACTACTAATCTCTTTCAATGTTTTTTTTTAAATTTTTTAATGCAGAAATTCCTATACAGCTTGACCTACTGGTTGGCCATGAAGTAGATGAGTAGATCTTAAAAAGGTTAATTGAGACTCAAATATTTAGTCTCCTTTGTTTTTTTCTTTAAAAAAAAACAAACAAAGATATATCAAATTATTTTTCTGATTTTCAAAATATTATTCAACGTGGGAGAGGCGTTTAACTAAAGATGTCACTAACAGCTAATTTTGAACACAAAAGCTTACAGAACAGCTTTATCAAAAATTGATATATGTTTTTAGTTCAGTTTCATATATTCCTATCGATTGAATAAACAAGTCTTCAATATGGTATCTCACTCAAACTGGTACGACAAGGCTACGTGGAACTTGATTTTGCGCGACAAAAATACACCGGAAGCCTCCGTTTATCTATTCAACTAGTTCGGAATAGAGTCAAAATATCTCATGAAAATTTGGAATCCGATTTTTTAAACCGAACACCTGTGCATATACGCTAAAGGGCAGACGGAACATTCAACGCGTCGCCTTGATACGAGCAGTCTTGCTCATCTTAATGGTTGACATTTTCCTTGTAATGGTTGATCACTTAGATTCAAAATCATATATTTTCAGAGAACAAACTCAAATGATCCAAATTTATTTGATTTGGATAATTAACTGGCTGAGATTTGTGAGTTGGATGTTCATTTTTCAGTCACCCAAATTTAATTTCCCCCTTTTGTTCACACACTAACTTGACTTCCCCGTGGGCATTTATTGTGGGTGGGACTACTGTATAGAATAAAGAGACGCATTTAATTTATCTTGAAATGACACCTTGTTTTACTACTGCTTCAATGGCTATACATTTGTTATCTTTTTACAAGTTCGGACTTAATTCCCATAAAAATTAGACCAATTTTGATTATTTGGGTATTTTTCTCTTGGTCAAGTTCAACAAGTACAACTTTTGAATTATTGATCAAATCAAGCGTTTGCTTTGTTTTTTAACGGGCCACATTTTTGGAATAAGTGTGGCCTCGTTAAATATTTTTCTCTTCTAGATTTTGAGCTAGTTACGGAAAAATAAGTTAAGGTGTCTGAATAAATCTGTTTTCATTTGATTCAAACTAGCGCCTTCACTAAAAGTATAATAATTCTTGTTTAAGTTCTTTCCTGGAGATGTCACATGTTACAATTTTAGAAAATTTTCAGAAAACAAAGTTTTCATACAAACAAAACTTAAGATTTCGATGATTTTCATATAAGAAAAAAACTGAAGGGTGTTCTGTGTCAGAGGACAAACAGTTTAGTTCTCTGTGAACTTGGTTTCTTGATACATATTTTATGCTCTCTCTGATAGAACAAAAAACAGTATTTCTCGTATTTTCATAACTCATGCATAACTTGCATTTCCATGATTTCGATAGGAGACGATTTGGATTATGAAGGTGAACTTGAGCTTGGATTTGGAGAAGCATAAGTTGGGTTCTTAAGTGCATAACTTGAGTGTAATGGGTTTGTTTGTAGAAAGAGGAGGTTGAGAAGAGGGTGCTAATTTGGGCTCTTGAGAGAGTGGGGGCCTTCTGGCGTGAAAAGAATGAATGCTAGTTAGCCCTTTCCCAATTTGAAGCGCGCTCTCTATTCTCAAGTGTAAAAGAAGAAGCCAATCTCAAATTCAATTTAGAACATTCCCAATTACCACTTTGTTACCAGTTAAACACCTATCTCAATGGAGATAAATGCTAATCAACTAACCTAATTACACCCCCCCCTAACCCCTTTAAGTAACCCCCTCCCACTATTACTTCAACCCTTTAACTCTGAATTCCCACTTCTAGAATGCATTTTTAGCCCCCTATAGTTTAGAATAAAGAGAAGTTAGTACTTTTTATTTTTACTAAACAGGGCTTCACGTGATGCCGCCATTTGCATAAATAGACCCGCGGCTATTTTCGTGAGAATTTGGGCTCTGATTTTTGGCCATTGAATTTTTACACATCAGGCAATCAATTCTGCACCGCACTTTGTGTGAAAGGATGGATTGGCTAAGTTGTGGTTTAATTTAATTTCACCGTGCTTGGAAAAGCTCTAAATTGGCAATTTCTTCTGACAATGAAAAAAGTGTATTTTATAAAAGACCAAAATTCTGGAAAATCCCGGACGTTTTTCCAGAATTTCCCCTCAGGGATTCGACCCCCTGCCGACCCTTTTTTGGCCTGTTTTTTTTCAAAATTTCGCCTGTGGTGCAGAAGTTTCAAAATTTCGGCCAAAACAGGGTCGTTGTAGTTCTTTAGGAGAGCTCGGAAAATTAATTTGGTCGACCTAAAAAAAGGTCGACAAAATTTTCAAATTGTTTTTGAAAATCCGCCCCCTCCCCCCTCGAGAAAATCCTAGATCCGCCCCTGACGTGAATCCTGGAAAACTCACTCATTACTAAATGATTGCCAGAAAAATGTAGAAAGATTGTAGAAAAACTTCGACCATTAAAAATTTTGATGCCTGCCACTGTCGAGGAAATTACGAGTTATAGCGGAGGACAACAGTCAAAAGTGAGCTTAGTAAAGACGGTCTGGATTTTTTTAAGTGTCTGCATTACAGGTTGCGCTGCTAGACCACTTGAATTTTATGATCAAGTTATAAATGATATTTATGATTGTTGGGTGAATGACTCATGAAGATTCATACTAATGAATTCTGAAGATTTGGGCTATTTAAGATCTAAATGTCCTCGCCGTTTTCATTGCTTGCGTGAAGTGAAGCGCTTAGTTTTATTTTTAAAAGCGATTCTCTCTCCATTAAAGAGCTGAACACCGCTTAAATTGGTCCGTTTACCTGAAAAGAAAAACGTTATCGGTTTCTTAGTCGTTAAAAGAACGTCTTCCAAGTGATGACGTGTCCAAATGACCAATGCATTCAATCACAGCTTATTTTGGATCTCAGTCTAATTATTTTGGCAAAAAAAATTATGAAAATTTGTTGTTTCTTTAGAGATCAGTGGAAGTCAGGTGTGATCATTCATACTTTCGGATTAAAATTGGTAGCGTACAAAATGTTTTTATCGGCTAAAGCGGAACTTCAGAACTTCAGTTGTGGTTTATCCCCAAAAGAGTTTCTAAGAACTTTCCTTCCGACAAGCAAAGTAGACTAACATATGCAAACTAGTATCAAGCAGCATCAGCTAAAGACTAAACAGATCTTAGACACGTGAAAACATCTTAGACACTCCGTGAAGCGAACCAGCGGAATGGAGCTTCAAATTAGCCAATTGTCACAACACACCGAGCTGGAAGCCCACCTCCAAGACAGGTATTACTCACTCATTATGTAATCATAGTGCATTCTACTCTCAGTGTTACGTAACACCTTTTAACTAAATACTAATAGTGCTTGGTGAATATTGTGAGTTAGCTTGGTTATAATTAATGGACCATCTTTCATTAACAGCTCAGCGGTATAATTTTCTCATTTGGGGGTCTATTTAAAAGTATTTAAGTCTTTAAAGTGATCGATTAGATTAATCGCTCTCAAAAGGTGTAATAAATAAGAAATCTTGTATCTATTGAACCGAATTAAAGGTATCGACTAAAGTGTATAAAGATGCGCAGCCACATCAACCAATCAAATTCAAACGAAGAAGTAGACTGCTCGATCCCCATTGGTTGATTGCCACAGGTAATTTGATGATGCTATTATCTCTTTTCCTGTTCATCAATTGACATTTCCTAGCTTCCTGAAAAGGCGCTAACAATTGTTTCCTGAAAAGTCCAATTTTTTGCAAACTTCTGGAAAAATCTCAAAATTTCTTGAAAATATATCAGATTTTGAAATAACCCAAATATCGGTTCATAATTAACAAATTGATTTAAGAAAACTCCATCAATTTGTAAAATTGAGAAAAAAACAGTTGCTTTAAAATGTTAAGCAGTCAGCTTAACTTGACAAACTCGTTGCAGCAAACTCTGCAACGAACCCACTTCGGCATAAACGAGCTTCTAGGCTTAGACAATTCGGCTACTCAGAACCTCCTAGTCCAACAACAGCAACGAGTAGCCCACCAATTGGGCTCCGTGAACAACTACACCCAGTCGTGCCATCAACCGACGAGCCAATCTGCCGAACAGCAGCTGTTCGACTCGTTCAACTCGCAGACGTTCGCCAACTCGGGCGGGTACCTCTCGGCAGCCAATAGGATTCCCCAGAATGCTTCGCAGTACTTCTCGGGTGGGTTGTATGGAAAAGCAACCCCGTTCCAGATCTTCTCATCAGGCGCTGCACACCAACCATGTAAGTTGAACAATAGATTGCTTCAAGTTTTTTGAACAAAATCGGTTTATGAAGAACACAATTTTTTGGTCGCTCAATTTAAATCCTTTCAAATCATGAATCTCATTTAGTGAAATTAGTTAGTCGAAGTAAGATCATATAAGCAATTCCACGCAGGAACGCAGATTTTTGCTTCCTCATTTGAAAGTTTTTAGTTTTTCTTGCATTTTGTAGCGATTTTAGTTTCTCATGTAGTGAGTGAGTGTATATAAAATTAAGTTTCAAAATCTTGAACTGAAACTTATTTTTGCATTTTTTATTTCAGTTCCATCTCTCTCCAGCAGTCTTTCCGACTCCCCCACCCACCCTATTAATCTGTTCGCCCCACCCACTCTACCGCCCCTCCCCCCTCACAACAACAACCCTACCAGTCTCAATTCAGCCACAGCCCCCCTCAACAACTCATCAACCCCCTCATCTTCCAACAACGGAAACGTAAACATCAACAATATTCAGACTAGCAATGCCCAAAACCAGCTCACTAGTTTAGCCCAGGTCAACAAAGACGCCCTTCAGCACGTGATATCTTCATCCAATGCAGCAGCAGCCGCGGGCGGAATGACCTTTGAGTCTCTAGTGATGGGGGGAGGGGTGAACTCAAATGGGGGTGGATGTTACCCCAGTGCGAGTTCCCTCCTGGCTGGTAGTATGATGGGGGGTCAGGGAATGAATGGAGGGGGACCCCTGTCTCTGCTGGGCAAGAAGAAAAAGAAGCGAAGGCGACACAGGTAAAAAAAATACTTCATTCAAAAGCCAAAAAAAGACATGAAAAGTGTAAATATTGTATATAATGATGTAGTGTTAATGCTTAAATTTAAATTTAAAGAAAATTTTCTACAACTCAAGTGAAAAAATGTTCACTTCATTATTCCTCGTTTTATTTTTCTCGTGTTTTTTTCCTTGAAAATAAAAAAAATCAAGTGACTTCAAAACATTATATGGGTGAAAGAGTTTGAAAACAACATACTGATAAAAATACGAGATGATATGGCCACAACAGCAAAAATTGATTTTTTCATGATTTTCTATCATTTAAACTTTTTCTACTTCTTGATTGTTTTAAGTCCCCACTAGATACGCAGCTAACTGGCCTTTTTGACGTTTCTCCTAGATAGGTTTTTGTATTGATATGAGTTGTGTAAATAATAATCGAGTCTGTTCCTTTCTTGGAAACGAATAAATTATTTTTATTGTTTTAAGATTTATTTATTTTTTCAACATATCATGTTATGTTAATAAACTGTTTATCAAGTAGGGACCAATTTGTTTATAATTTACATTATGAGTGTTTATCTTTCTTATGTTGTAGGACCATCTTCACTTCGTACCAGATAGAGGAGCTGGAAAAAGCATTCGGAGATGCACACTACCCGGATGTGTATGCCAGAGAGATGCTCTCCCTCAAGACAGACCTCCCGGAGGACAGAATACAGGTAAACAATACACACTACCCTGCTCCAAACTCATACTTGGTCAGAAATATAAACAATAGAAAAAACTTACACTATTAAAGTAACTCGTTGTTTTGATATACAGCATTCAAACAATTTATCCACATTATATTATAACACACCCCCACAATACTTATTATCAATTAAAAAACTGATTGAAAACAAAGTAAAAAACTTGCAGTTACTTATTATCAATTAAAAAACAGATTGAAAACAAAGTAGAAAATGTTTTCAGATGCAATGCTGAAAAACGTCGTACTAGTTTGGCTATAGGAGCAATCGTTTTTTTGCAGTCTTCTCAACTGTTTAAAAATCTTTTGAAAATAACAATATAGTTTTTTTCAATTTGTTCTCTCGACGACAAACCTTTGAACGAAAAAAAATATTCGAAACAAAATGCGATCGAAGAATTTTGTGCCATAGCTGTTTTACAAAAAATGATTTTTTTTTGGTTTGCGTTTTTTCAAAAAATACTTCAGTTTTAATTGATACTGATAAAAAAACTTCAAGTAAAAAAATTCCGATTTGAATTAAGGACACCTCACTTAAAACCTAATTTTTTCTTATTAATTTCATTTCTTTGTCAATTAAGGTTTTGTTAGACCACAGTATCATTCAATTAGTAGCCCATATCAGCTATTATAAATTCGATTACATTGATTGTTGACAAAAATGTCGAAGTCATTAATTGTCAATTGGTAACCAATTTTCTTGGTTCAACATTTTTTGCCTTCTTTTTTGTTTTTCTCTAATTAAACCAGGTGTAAGTGTTACCACTTCAAATTTGAATGATTGGCTTGTTTTTCTTTTATTTATTTAATAAATAATTTTCCCAATATGCGTTTAATAAATTAGCGGAAAACAAGCACAAAATTGTGTGTATTTCCTATCGAGTAAACAGGCAATTCGCTTATCTAGGTTCCGTTAATTTCAAGAGCTTTTTCTCACTTTTTACGTTATTTTCCTTCTTTTTTTTTGTTCATTTTAGCTCATAATTGTTTCACGTTTTAATTCCAAATGAACAGATCTTTTTCAAGTATGAAATTCAAATCAGCTAACGATCACTTAGCAGACAATTGAATAGCACTTCTGAAAATGCGTGAAGACTAATTAAGCTGAATAGCAATTAAGCTCACAAGTGATGCTATTATTCATTTTTTTCTCAACTGTGAAAAACGACTAATTAGAAACCAATAAATACCTGTAATAGATATGTTACTTGAGTTATCATATAACGATTTCCTCAAAAATGACAAACAGACAAAAAAATCAAACAAATTGAAGAAAAAAAGAAATAAAAGCCTCTTTTCTTACAAGGAGGAAAAGCAACCACTCGAAAGAATACCAAAGCAGAGAAATCACAAAAAGAAAGAAGAAACAATCAGCTAAAAAAGGACTTTAGAGTCAAACTGTTTCGAAGTTAAAATTTTTTTGGTCAAAATTGACTTAATCAAAAGGTTTGGCGATTTGATGAAGAATAATTTTATATATATTTTGACTGATACTCTTGGGTTTGAGTGAAATAATTGCTTATGAATAATGTGCTTATTCAAGTAATTCATCGCTTAAAAATTAATTGACTGATTTTTGCTTCTAGGTGTGGTTCCAAAACCGACGAGCCAAATGGCGAAAGAAGGAAAAGACATGGGGGCGTGCCAGCATCATGGCCGAGTATGGCCTCTATGGCGCCATGGTCCGACACTCCCTGCCCCTCCCAGAGGCCATACTGGACAGTGCCGGGAAACTGGACCAAGAAGACGTCAAGAACTCCGTCGCCCCGTGGCTCCTCGGAATGCACCGGAAAAGTCTGGAAGCACAGGAAGCTCTGAAAACCGAAGACGATAACGAAGATGTCGACGACGAGGACTCGGAAAACGAGTCAACGAAAAGCTCACCCGACGAAGAAATTGAGAAGTTGCACGACAAATTGAAACTAGCCAATCAGAATCAAGCACGAGCTATGACTGCTCAGATTTAAAAAAAAAATAAATAAAACTGTACAGAAAGAAAAGTTGATCATTTTTATCAGTTTATAAGTTTGACAAAACTGTTATTACAAAATTTTATAAATTTGATCCCCAAAGAATTATTTTTATTCAACTTCGATTTGATCCTTTCAGTAAATTTTCTCAAAATGTGTTCTTAAGTTTAAAAAAAAATTTGAAAGCTAACATTTTTGAAGTTATCAAGCACCGCGGAGTTCTCAAAGAAACCATATTTTGCAAAGCTTTCTGCGCCGCTAGCAGTTTGTTGAGTACTTTAGTAAGCTTTGGTCAAAAAAATGCGTTTTTGCGGCTCGCAGTCTCACCTGAAGATTTGTTTATAATCAATGACGGCGGACGCACCTTTAGAAATGTTCTAGGCGTTATTAACCTGCAATTAATGTCAAACAATAAAACCAAAGGAACACTTTTGGGGGTTGGCAGTTACCCTCACTCCATTCTCCATCGGCAGGTTACTAATGAAACTTCAATTATCAAAACAACTAAAAAAGATTCTAAATTTTTCCACACAGACGTCTTGTTATGCAAATCCGTCAACCTTGTTTTGAAGTGAAAACATACGACAAAAAGGTGCAACTTTTCTAATAGCAAAATTTTAAGTGCTTAAAGAAATCATTTTTCATAAAAACTGGCGTGAGCTGCTCAAACTTGAAAAAAACGAATAGGGGAAATCTGAAACACTTTCAAAAAGACCTTATGCGATACCAACACTTGGCAAAAAAAAATAAATTCTCCCAATCCGCGAATGTTAAAAAGAGTGACGCGTGAAAAAATTGCACTCTGTTTTTGCCGATCGATCAAATTTCAAAAACAGTCATTTCTGGACAAGATTTCAATAGAGAAGACTTGCTAAAAGAAATTTTCAGAGGCTACTGTGTATTTTGAAGATTAATACAACAAAATCCCAATGAATGAACAATTACAAAAATTCATAGTAAAATATAAATTTGCTTCTGCAGAGTTATACTTTTTCTTAGGAATTATGTTTAAATATAATATACTCCAGCACCATTTGATGCGACGGTAAAAATGGTTTTGTTTTAAAATCAAGTTCGAAATGTTATTTTCTGATTGTTCGCTAACGAACATGGGCTCTTCAATTTTTCCTTTTTTCTCGATTCAATTAATGAGTGTTTGTTTTTTAAAAAAGGTAAAATTTGGTAACCAAATATGTTAAGGTTATCAAAAATAATCAACTATCAATTTTTGTATTAATCGGAGTATGTGCTCAAAATTTTAATCGCGCAGATGCGTGGGTGCAAAACAACTAGAAACTGAATACTATCTGAGAAATTTGAAAGAACCTGGACATGTTATAAAAATTGTTGGTTTTTTAGTCCAGGAGCAAAAATAACTAAGGATTTAAGTTTTTTTAATCAACAAATTAAATCACACTGTCAAAGACCAGCCTCATTAGAAAACTCGTCAACTAATTCAAAGTATTGAATTTAAAAAACGGAAAAAAAACTAATTGTTTGTGGCCTAATTTTTTTCGACACACAAACAACAATTTTACTTTTGAAATTTTGAAAAAAGGATAATGCTGTCTTCGCACTTTTAGAAATATTTTTGCTTAAGCCTAGAGGTCACTTTGCAACTAAAAAGATGACAAAATTAATTCTCTCATTTTTTAACTTTTTCACTACTGTTAGTATTATTAATCTATTTATTTAGTGTTAAAATTTTTCATTCCCACTCAGATCAAAAGTTTTGTAGCCCTGATCCTTTGAAACAGCTAAAAAAAGAAACAGTGGCTAATTTATTTCAAACCTCATCTGACAAAATCTGAATTTTGCGCAATTCATGTCGATCGAACTTCGCATTTTTATTTCATGCCACAAAAACTAATTAATGACACAAAAAAATTATATTATTGAGCAAATAAAAAATTTTTGTGTATCACAACTAAATAAATAGCTTACATTTGCAATAATTTCGATCAAATGTTTTAAACAAGTGTGGTATTTCTTACTACATATCAAATCAAAACACCTTTTTTTTCTTTATTTTTGTTTTCCACTCAAAACCGAGTTTTATTCTAATTTTGAGCAGGTAAAACGATCAAGAAACGTTGGTTATATAAAAGTAAGGCTCAGATAACTTGATTTTAACAAACAAATATAATTGAAAATTTCATGTATTGCTCCCGTGGCAATTAAAAATGGCTAAAAATTAAAAAAATTATGGTGTAAAAATTTTATAAAAATTTATAACTTTTTTTATTCATGTCTTTCACTTTTCGAATTTTTTCATTCAAATTTTTTGTATGTCAATTTTTTTGGGAGATATATATTGTCGATAATGTCTAAATAACTAACTTATACCCGTTTGTGTAGTTCTTTTGTTATAAATACCCGGTTGCATAATAAACATCTTAGTATGCATTAGGCCAACCTAAGCAAATAAATCTCATCTTGTTTTGTGTGAGCTAATCTGCTTACGCATTTTCTTTGGAACTGAAGATTCAAAAAACTACCTCATTTAATAGAAAAATGTTTGTGATTATTAAATTAAGCAAAAATTCAGGTTTTACTTGTTTGGACTGTCTGTTGTAGGAAAGTTATGATTTACTTACGTAGTAAATGCCTAATTTTTTTTAAATTTTTGAAATACCAAGTAATGTCTTTTTAGGACCTAAAGAAAAATCATCTGCGGAAGACGAGCTCTGTGCTCCAGCAACGCTGTAGCTGGTAGAATTTTGTCAGGTTGTTCAGAGAAAAAGTTGAAGGCAAAGGAAGCTGGAAAATCGAATTCATCAAGCCCTTTCTCCACTTGAAACTGATGACCCGGTCGCATAAGATGTACAACATAATTAGAATTGGTCTTTGGGATCAAGAATGAGTGGTTCTAAAGAGTGTTCAATAAACAAGGATGACATGAAATTCAAGTTGGCTGAAATGTTTAATAAAACTGTTATCCATACAGATAAACTCTTTAATTGAGTTTTTTTCAGTTCATGTGAATGACGCTGTCATACGGCACGGCACGGATTGACAAAATATATTTATATATGTGTATATATGTATATATTATTCAACTCACTATATTGAGTAAACCCTGTGTTTGGTCGATTGACCTTGTAAAGACGTTAAGCCAGAGAACACTATGAGCAAAAGCTCAGACGTCCATAAATGGTTTTAGGAATCAGTTGTTTTGTCTTGCTTACGTTTGAGACCTTGTATATCAATCCGTTTGGATTCAGTAACAGACTCGATCGTACACAGCGCAACCAGCAGGATATTCGAAAAACCCGTTAAATATTAGTCCATTTTGGGAGACGGCGTCAGCTGAACCACCACTGGAGGGGTTTAAAGGGGCAGCAATACATGAGATGGCGTTGCTTGCAAAAGATAGAATCGAGGTACGAAACTTGTTAAGAGCTAAACCTGCACTAATCGATCCCCAAGAATCCACTTATGAAGTCGGAATAACTGGTGAAATAGACGCACAGAGGACAAATGGCAAGGTGCGTAACCAGGAGAAGCGAGTCGGCTGAGAAAACCGCGTCCAAATAGCCAGAGAAAAAGGCGTCTCCTGTAATTCGTTCTCTTGGGACGAGGCTGATGCAAAAGTCTGCAGTCTTTGAGGCACAGCGGAGGCTAATCCTCGACTTGCACAGCATTTCTACAAAAGAGTTCATGACGATCTTAGAAGATATCGTCTTGACCAGAAGGATTATAGCGTTCGAACGGTACAACTTTATCTGCAGCAAACAAAAGAAAACTGAAAGCCCAGAAAATTTCCAAGCGGAACTGGTTGATTTGGCTTTGCGAGTCGATTGCGGAGATCGAGAAAACGAGAGGTTTAGGGACACGTTTACTGCCCACTTGCACAATCATAAAATTGCGGAAGAATTACTAGCCGTAACGGAACCGACCGAGAAAAACGAATTGAAGTATGCAATCCACCGGGAAAATGAACAGAACATAGTCGAACTACGAAAACAAACCCATTCTGCAGACAACCAACAACATTTAAAAAAATAAGAACCGATACATTACATCAACATGCGAGGTAGAGGTAATTACACAAGTAACCAAAACCCACAAAAAGCAGACAATTCTGTCCAGACAACTTACAAACGTGCCCAGCAAAAGACAGAATTTGTTCAAAATGGGCCAAACGGTAGATCTACGAACGTCAACTACCTGGAGAATAGAAACGACAAACAACAAGAAGAAGTAGAAAATGAAAACAAAATGACAAAAAATGAACCAGTTGAGTTTGCAGAATTAACATCCATGGATGGATGCGAAGAATATCAACTGGACAAATTTTCAGCTATGGCAATATCAGAGGCATTCAAAAAAAACTCAGTTTGACTGAAGATAATCTCAGCGGTCACATCGTAAAATTTATAACTAAGACGGACGCTATATTCGCCATCGCCGAGTCGGGAAGCCCGATGTCATTCTTAAACGAAAAACGGATCTTCGACTGCAGGAAAATGACAAATCAACGATGTTCAAACATATCCCACCGGAAGACGCCGCCAGAAATTTGGCATGTTATAATGGTGAATACCTTATTCCCAAAAGAAGACTCATTTTCGCAATGGAATTCGGAGGCTGGACACTTCAATCAGCGTCACTCAGATGATCAAAAAGCACATATGATAGGTTGAAATCTATAACCACTAATTCGAATCAAAATGATTCAAGAAAACTCTAACAAGTGTTAAGTATACAAGAAACGGAATAATCAAACACTGAAGTGAAACAGTGGGTTCAAGATAATTTCAAACAACTTTGCATACGAATCGGAAAGTCAAAAAATCACTTAATGCGAACACAATTCACCAAAGACGGCGGCGAATTCCAATATATTTGCAAGAGTGGGTCGAAAAAACTAAATGATCAAAACCACACGATCATTTTGAGCAAATGTTTGGATCAAAAGTTTATTAGTTCAATCGTTATAACCATTTAAAAAATCAGACATTCTGGCACTAGACTCTAAAAAGATTTTAAGACTTATTCACAAAAGTGAGCACCAAATGTCAAACATCGATCTCTTTTTGGACAAAAGTGAACCGGTGGTAAAAACAGATAAAACTCAACAACGAGATTTTTTTT